CTAAGGGGAAGTAGTTGTGTTTTTTTATATTATACCCAATTGGAAGGAAAAGGATTTTTTTTTATAAGTCAACGAACTAAGAAATAATTCAAGTTCAGAATCGGTTTTCCTATATAAGTTCAATACTAAAATATAATACGTCTAAACTGTTTACTAAAGATGAATGATTAATTTTCCAAACATATTTTACAAGGAGAAAGTCATTTAAAAGCTAGTTTCATATTTCATGAACCATAAAGATTAGACATTATGAATTACAGTGACACTTTGCAAACATGAAGAAATCGTCCAATCCCTACATAAAAAAATACATAAAATAAAAATAAATAAATAAAATAAAAATAAATCGTTATACATTATTCTGTCCTTGAAAATAAAAACACAGAAGAATATTCTAAGGGCGAAGTTAAAATTAAAAACTAATTTGAATGTTATTTTAATATGAAAGCGGTGGCAACACTAGCAAAACAACGTTTTCTCATTTTCCTCTATTCCAAATGATAAAAAGAGCAAAGGGCAAGAGGTGAAATTAGCCACTGTTGACATAATGTCGTATTATGTAATAGCAGCTGGAAATCACTCGTATAGTTATGGTGCCCTTGCTTTGTTTTCGTTTCCTCCAACGTCAAATCGAATATATTCAATCTTAAGTTGCAGGCGATATTAATTTAAAGAGAACTATCTTCATTTTATATTACTTCAAGTATTATGCATTGTTTAAGGGAACATGGAATCTTAAAAATCATAAAATATTTTAGTATAAAATATTACGAAAATTTGTTATTGACATTTTTATCCATTACATAGTTCTTAAATATAATAAAAATAATTATTTTGGCAATTTTACGTTAATTCACATCCAAATTAATTCGCTTTGATTAATTCAAACAATTTAAAGAAGTTACTAAGAAATTCAATCTTAGTTTCCAAAATGTTCACTTTCAAGGTTAAAGGTCTTCTTAAGTTTCAAGGTCTACTTAAACTTCTTAAAGTTTTGCAAGTGTTCAGAAAGGAAAAAAAGATTAAAAAAAAGATGCTCGATACAGTGCTGTTGGGTTAGTTGTTGTTTTTAAGAACTTTAAAAAAAAAAAAAAAAAAAAAATTTAAAAAAAAACTGTCATTTTTTGTACAATAAATTATGTAATTAACTTTTCAACTCGAGCAAGTAAACTGATTTTCAACTTAAATAAGTGTGATTCCGAAGCAGATGTCTTAGACAGTGTTTAGAATGTGTTTCTTTTTTATTTTTTAGGCACAGTCTGTAATATATATTAACACGTTTTCCAAAATTTTCGAAGCTAATAAATCAAAATATGCATTTAAAAGTTTCAGCCATGCATGAAAGTGCAAAACTATATCTCTTAACTCTTTGACATTTGGAAAGGGAGAAAAAAAAAGTTCTGTTGCCATCTGCGAGAGTATCATTTTCGACAAGAAAAGAGGTAGAGAGAGGAAAAAGAAACCTTTCTAGTTTCGGTTCCTTTTGCGAGTGTGTAACAAGCACATAAAGTTTCCACAAAAAAAAATTAAAAAGAAAAAATTACTTTCTCTTTGAACTCATAATTTTTCTGCCAAATTCCACATTCCGTAGTTCCGACAGTTTTTATCGTTTGCTTAATTAGAACATTGCCACGGGGCTGAAACTAAAATATGCAAAGCTCAAGATTAGATTAATACTTTTTGCTTTTTGTTCAAGAAAACGATAAATATTCCACTTGCGGAAGACCTTAAGAATTAACTCGTTGATAAGGTACGCACGACAGACCGGTTTATAAGCGAAATGCTTGTCCAAATGTTAAACTCCTTTTTTTTAAAAATTCATTTATTAATTTATAGGACACCACAGGTTTCAGTCCACGGTTTGAAAGTTGACCTTGTTAGGAATTGGAACACCGGCTCGTTTCACAATAACCACCTTGGTCGTTTTTTGTGCCGGCAAAACCTAGATTTGTCAAATCGCTTTCACACATGTATTAACGAGTTTAGAATATTAAACGATTCCATTGAAAACGATTAGAATCAACAGTAGAACAAATAGTGACACATCCAATTATATTTTATGTTCTAAAACAAGGACAATTATTTCGACTTCCAGTTCTAACAAATGTAATTAAATATTCTTCTCTGGTAGAATATTGATTAATTTATTTTTGTTGCCTTACATGAAAATTGCTATATAACCCTGGATGATTATTTATGTTAGACATAAATCAAACCTCGTATGAACGTGATCGTAACGTTTACATCTTAAAATAAAAAGTCCGAAAAAATTAAATATATTCGATATATTAAAAATGTACAAGGAAACTATAATTAATTACATTAAGTTATTGAATTTTAAAAAAAATAGTTGTTTTTAACTATTAAATATTGGCAAAAAGGTTTTTAAAGAAATTAAATGCGCACAAAAATTTTTAAAAAAAGATAAAAATATAAAATGAATACATTGACATTTTAGGATCTTTTTTCCCACTCGGTACAAACTTCTGTAAATGCTACATTTTGCCAGTTTTTGCGAAGCGTAGGTCACGTGACAAATCTGTGAATCTCTGAACTCGAAATTTTAACATCGTGCTACATCTCCAGAAAATATTAATGCGTCCCAATTTTTTTAGATACTTTTTAAATTTCAATAATTTATTTTGGACAATATTTTCGTTACACACACGAGAGTTATCATACTCGATGATTGTTAACGATATCATCGTGGTTGAATATCGCACCCAGGAAATATACTGTAAGCAGATAATCACGATGTTTCGTGAAAACATGGTTTAAAATAAGTGTTATAGCAGAGCATGGTTTAAAATATTGTTATAGCAATATTAACGATTTTGCGATTTATCGCACAAATCGCGGTTCAACATACTTTTGCAATTTCACGCACTATGGACAGGTGCTGCCGAATACTAGAACAAAAATAAATAAAGAAATAAATAAAATTCTTTTTTAAAAAAAATGAGAAAAATGCATAAGAAATATATTTATCTCTTTGCAATTAATTTATATTTAGAGACTAATACTATTTCAATTATTTATTTTTATCATGAATCAATCACTATAAATTAATAAGCAGAAAAGTAATAAATGTAACAGGAAACGTGCAATAAGCTTTAACCACTTAATATAGTGGTTAACGCTTAACCACTCATAACCATTTATGTGAACATTTAAAATATACTAATACATTCTACATTAATTTTTTATGTATAATACTCGATTTTGATTGATTATTGTCATTTCTATAATGCTATGATTTCATGTTTTTAAATTCAAAAATAAAGTAGCTGATATTGTATTGTATTTACATTATAGAAGGAAATATTTTCCTACATATTGTATATTATATAATACTGAAAGGATAATATAATTTTTTGAAACAAATTTCTTCGTTATAATGTTTTTTTTTTTTTTTTTTTCGAATGCTTAATATTTGTTTTCTGTTGTTCAATCGAGGGTATCTAAAGAAAACAGTGTTTAGTAACATTCTAATAATATTTCATAATTATCTTTTATTTTGTAATCGACACGTATTTTCGAATTAACATTCTGTTGATTCCGATCTGCGAAAATAACATAAACTTTCTAAACGGCACTTTTTAAACATATTCCTCATCATAAATAATCAATCCGAAACAATACATGATAACAATGTTTACAATCACAGAGTTAATCAATATCATAATCAATGCTCGCCAAGCTTGGCATGATTTTACATTGCAAATTATTCATTGTAAACAGAGAACGAAACACCGGCGAATCAAAACCGTTCCTCTGTTGCCAGGGTTGAGGATAGCGATGTAAACTCATCTGACAGGACTGACCCAGATTGCTGCGCAGTGCCAACTTCACTGCCGGTTTTCTTTCTCTTTGCAAGTGCCGGAGAACTAAAAAGGCCCCTTGTTATTTTTAAAAGAACTTAAAAATAGCCAGATTTGTTGTTTTACCCTCATATTTCGGGATTATATCACTGACTGCTTAATAAGGAGGGTTAAAAAAAAAGATGAAAAGGTGGTAATTACCACTGCAGAGGCTTTGTTTACAATTTGAATGCGGCTTATTATTGAACATTTCCACATTAATAAGGCATTAAATTGCATAGAATGTTGTATTTTAAATATAATAATAACTATTTCTATTAAATAAGCAAAAAATACACAATAGATTGTTAAATTTAAAAAAAAAAGATTAGTAATGTACCACTAATGGGGCAGTAATGTTAAAGAACACATTTAAAAATAAATTTTTACAATAATTTCAAATTATCTTTAAAAAAATTTTACGGAAAATCTATAAACATGAAATAATGTCGCTTCGCTAGAAAATACTATTTTAAAATTTATACCAAATTAATTTACAGAAATAAAAATTAAATCAAATTTATGTATGATTTAAAGTAAAGGGGGAAATCTACCTCATTTAAGCGACAAAGCGTTAGTTTACAATTTATATCTACAATCAATATTATTTACAACTTCAAAATAATTTATACAAGATTCGTTTGTGTTCCTGTGTACAAGAATACACAGTTGAAAGCATAAGTATGAATATAGATTAAATTGAATTTAAACTCATTTAAGCTTATTAAACTAACAAAAAACTTCAATGATTAGATTATATCCTTAAAATATGTAAGTAAACAAAAATAATACAGATGTAATATTTTGGCAAAACAATAGTAAACAAAAAAAATCTAGATGTGATTGAATGGCTCAGCAACAATAATTAATAATTATTAAATAGAATTTTAGATATGATAGAATGGCTCAGCAACAATAATTATAAAATGGAAATCTAGATGTGATTGAATGGGTCGCCAACAATAATTATTAAATAGAAATCTAGATGTGATTGAATGGGTCGCCAACAATAATTATTAAATAAAAATCTAGATGTGATAGAATAGTTCAGCTACAATAATAATAAAATAGAAATCTAGATGTAATAGATAGGTTCAGCAACTGTAAACAATGAAATATAGATGTAATAAATGTACTTACTTCTGGCCATAGGGCACATCTATGCTCAAAGATGATGCTCTCCTTCTCGGCTCTGGTTGACCATCGGCTAAGCGAGAATAGTCCGTGTCCAAGTCCAGCAGCCGAGCTGATTTTCGGCTCTCAATCAGCCGTATCTCTTCAAGTCTTTTTTTAAGTCCAAGTCCAATGGAAGGAAGTGTTAACTCAACTTCATCTGTATCTGGCCTGTGGTCATTAACGACACCTTTAATTTCTCGTCCGTTGTAAGTCACAAAAACTCTTTGTCCCCTTTGAAGAATTACGTCCATGACTGTTTTGAACCCGGACCCGACCAAATCGGCTTGACCATACTCGCTAACGGATTTATCATCCAAACATACAGCATACACACTTCTATGGTCATCGCTCCTGGTGGCCTGTATCACACCGGGGACATAAAGCCCCTGCTCATTTGGGGCGCACACACGGGTACCTAAAATGGACCTTTTCGCTAATCTTTTTCCTGTTGACATTTTTACTGCTATGTAGAAAATAAAAACAATAGTTCTTGACACATATTTTTAAAGTAATAATATTTATTACTTATATCCACTGTTAAACTATGCCTGTTGACTGCCTTTTCGAATATTTCAGTTTAAAAAAAAAAACTAACTCAAACTTATTTTAAGTTATTCCAAAAACCAAACGATTCGTTTCAACTCTTGACTTGATCTGCTGAAAATCATTTCCCTGAGCCGGCCGGGCTCACGTCAACAAACCCACGTGACGCAACGGAGCGCGTGATTGGCTGATAAGACTGTGCCGCTACACTCTCATTGGATCCGAGGCCGGCTTGTCAAACGTAACGAGGAGAAGCCGGATACCGGAAAAACTAAAGATATCTTGTGCCGATTCCCGGCAATTTGACACAAATATCCGCCGGTTCACCCTCGAATTTTTAAAATAATATCGTTCGATGAAGTTTTTGGAGAAAAATAGGAGTCCACTTTCATTTGCGTCAATGTTAATGTCGAAATGCAAGCGCACGCCATGTTGCAACTGTAAACATGTTTACACCCATTCTAATCTTTGCACATCCTCCCCTTTAGCTCCTAACTCCTGAAACCCTTAATCCGAAATATAACCTAATATTAATTGCTTCCCAATACCCTAAAAGAAGGATTTATTCCCATATTTTGGAAAAACGTCGTAGATTTCTTTGAAATCGAAGGAAAACTTTCGATTCTTCTAAGAAGGGAGGATAAGCAGTGTTTAGAACAGCTGATACACCATCAAAGGGAATTTCGGTCGGTGACCTTGGAGAGAGCTGTCTTCTTAGCACGTTCTACTGCAGATGCACTTTATAGTTCTTCTAATGAAATAAACGATATATCTTTTTATTTCTTATTTTCAAAGAAGGATTAAGATATAACTTCTTTACGGTTTAATCGTTTGTTACTTTTCAATCGTTTGTTACTCGTATAATAATCAATAATAAACAAACGATTAATATTATAGGTTAATTGAAATCGCAATAATTTTTCTTGATTGTGGAGTAAAAATTTTCTGTTATCATTATAATTGACTTTATATTATTTTTGAAAAGAATATTGAAATTTTGCATATTTCTTAAATATATTTTTACTTTTAAAATTAAAATCCCCCACCCTCGCACGTTTTTGTTTTACAATCGTTTTTCTTTTGATAAACAATAAAAAAGAAAATAGTATGTAATATAAACTTAACAGTTTTCCTCGGTGACCATAGCAACTTCCTCCACATTTTTTATTTTATTTATTCGTATTTAATTTCGGCTGTTATAAAAACCGGTTACGTATTTTTCGCCAAAGCATTTATTTAGCAACAACGAGAAAAATTTATTTTCAAAATTGTTTTAGAATTTTAAATAGTTATCTTGCATTATTAATGGTGCATACAAATCACATTGTTTTTAGTGCATAAGCACTGTTTCACATAAAATTATTGTAAAAGTAGATGTAACTTATTAAAAAAATAACTATAACTTACTACAAAGTATCCTATTTATCTTTTAATAGCAGTATAAACTGTGAATTAAGCCTTAATTAACAGTATAAACCTTTGCAATATATTAACCTTAACAAGCTAGAAACCTTCACAACAATATTAACCTATTTATCTTTTAATAACAGTAAATAACATATAAAACAATTTTAATAACACAAAGTTAACCCATAAAAATCTTTATCATAAAATGTTGCATAACAGCATAATATTATGTTTTACTTTTATTTGTTAAAAAAAAAAACTCTTTCTCATTTTAATAGCAGTCAAAAGCAAAAACGTAGTAGCAACAGAGAATAACAGAAATAATGAATAAATACTACACGTAAATAACGTTAAGTCAAGAAAAATAATTAATTTATAGTTACATATATTACATATAATTTCTATAAATTTTATTATAATTTTTAGTAATAAATATTTACAGTATTGGTATAAGGAAGATCCCAAATAGCAAATCATTTTACAAACATCATATATTGATATTTAAAAGTTCTCACTAAATATTCATTGTTGTTATGTTTAAAATTTAAGAGTTATTCTTCAATGCTTAATGGCACAGGAGCCGGAATCGGTAATGCTGCGGCAAACGTTTAACATTATAGGGTGATCAAACAGTATTGCAAACCAAATCTGTCTCGTAAAAAGAATCAAAGTTTATTACAGCATAACACGGTCGTAAGACCAGTGTTATTCAAAAGAGGACATTATATATATACATATATATATATATATAAATAAGTTACGGTGAAACACCGAAATCTGGAGAATGTCGACGTTCACCGGTGAATGTCAACATTCACGTAGTCGCTTGGTGTATGTCCGAAATATTTGCTAAATACCCTTATTTCTGACTCTCACCGGTGAATGTCAACAATCACATAGTCGCTTTGGTGAATGTCCGAAATATTTGTTATATCCAATTTTATATTAATTTATTCGTTAATATTATTATATTTATTTGATATATTTATATTTATTCTATATTTTAATACTTACTGACGATAGAT